GAGGAGAAGGGGAAATGGGGAAGGGAAGAGAACGATGCAAGTAGGCCATGGGCTGGCGGGGGGGGGGGGGTAAAGCGAAGTGACTTGGGTGAATTCTTGATGCGGCATTTGATGGGTTCGTGAAGAGAGGAGGAAGGAGAAAAAAGGAGAAAGAGAGAGAGAGAGAGAGAGATTAGTACAAATAATGGCTGACTATTGGACCAAGAAAGAGAATAGATTTGGAAAAAGGAGACAGCTTAAGAAAATGAGAAAATAGGGAATTACACGATATACACAGAAAGAAATATAAAACAGAAATTCAATACCTAAGCTCTTGATGGACGAATCACCAAACGAAAGAGGAAAACGAAAATGAAAGGGAATGAATTAGAAATCGATATCGATATCAAAATGAGGCGGAGCCAACCGGGGCCTCTGCGTCCGGGCGGTCCTCCAGCGTCCCACAGCGCCCTCCCATCCCTCCCAGCCAGCGTCCCAACCTCCCAGGCCAGCTCCCTCCAGCGCCCTCCCAGCGGCCCTCCAGCGTTCCCAGCGTCCCTCCCAGCGCCCTCCCCGTCCCTCCCAGCGGCCCTCCCAGCGTCCCCAGCGCCCCTCCCAGCGTCCCTCCCAGCGGCCCTCCCAGCGTCCCTCCCAGCGTCCCTCCAAGCGGGCCTTCCCAGCGTCCCTCCCAGCGTCCTCCCAGCGTCCCTCCCAGCGCGCCAGCTCCTCCAGCGTCCCTCCCAGCGGCCCTCCCAGCGGCCCTCCCAGCGTCCCTCCCGTCCCTCCCAGCCCTCCCAGCGCCCTCCCAGCGGCCTCCCCAGCCCCTCCCAGCGCGCGCCCTCCCAGCGTCCCTCCAGCGTCCCTCCCAGCGGCCCTCAGCGGCCCTCCCTCCAGCGTCCCTCCAGCGTCCCTCCCAGCGGCCCTCCCAGCGTCCCTCCCAGCGGCCCTCCCCCAGAGCGTCCCTCCCAGCCGTCCCTTCCCAGCGTCCCACCCTCCCAGCCCCTCCCAAGGCCCTCCCAGCGTCCCTCCCGTCCAGCGTCCCTCCCAGCGGCCTCCGGCCCTCCAGCGGCCCTCCCAGCGGCCCCTCCCAGCCGTCCTCCCGTCCCTCCCAGCGGCCTCCAGCGTCCCTCCCAGCAGCGCCCTCCCAGGTCCCGTCCCTCCAGCGTCCCTCCCAGTCCCTCCCAGCGGGCCTCCCAGCCGTCCCCCAGCGTCCCTCCCAGCGTCCCTCCAGCGCCCTCCAGCGGCCCTCCCCAGCGCCCAGCGTCCCTCCCAGCGTCCCTCCCAGCGAGCCCTCCAGCCGCTCCCTCCCAGCGTCCCTCCCAGCGTCCCTCCCAGCGGCCCTCCCAGCGGCCCTCCCAGCGGCCCTCCAGGACCGTCCTCCAGCGTCCCTCCCAGCGCACCTTCCCCAGCGGCCCTCCCCAGCGCTCCCTCCCAGCAGTCCCTCCAGCCGTCCCTCCCAGTCCCTCAGTCCTCCCTTCCAGCGTCCCTCCCAGCCGTCCCTCCCAGCGGCCTCCAGCGTCCCTCCCAGCGTCCCTCCCAGCGGCCCTCCCAGCGTCCCTCCCAGCGTCCCCTCCCAGCGTCCCTACCGCAGCGTCCCTCCCAGCCGTTCCCTCCCAGCGTCCCTCCAGCGTCCCTCCAGCGGCCTCCAGCGTCCCTCCCAGCGTCCCTCCCAGCGGCCCTCCCAGCGCCTCCCAGCGTCCCTCCCAGGCCGTCCCTTCCCAGCGTCCCCCCCAGCGACTCCCAGTGCCTCCCAGCGCGCGCCCTCCAGCAGCGTCCCTCCCAGCGGCCCTCCCCAGCGTCCCTCCCAGCTCCCCCCAGCGTCCCTCCCAGCGTTCCTCCCAGCGGCCCTCCCAGCGCCTCCCAGCGTCCCTCCCCAGCGTCCCTCCCAGCGGTCCCTCCCAGCCCTTCCTCCCAGCGCGTCCTCCCAGCAGCGTCCCTCCCAGCGTCCCTCCCAGCGTCCGCTCCCAGCGGCCCTCCCAGCGCGCCCTCCCAGCCGCCTGTCCCTCCCGCGCGTCCCTCCCAAGCGCCCTCCCAGCGGCCCTCCCAGCGGCCCGCCCTCCAGCGGCCCTCCCAGCAGCGTCCCTCCAGCGCCTCCAGCCCGCGCTCCCTCCCAGCGCTCCCTCCCAGCGTCCTCCCACCGGCCTCCCGCGGCCCACCAGCCTCCGCGGCCCTCCCAGCCGGCCCTCCCAGCGCCCCTCCCAGCGGCCCTCCCAGCGGCCCCTCCCAGCGCGGCCCCTCCCAGCGGCCCTCCAGTAGCGTCCCTCCCAGTCGCCTCCAGCGGCCCTTCCCAAGCGGCCTCCCAGCGTCCCCTCCCAGCGTCCCTCCCAGCGTCTCCTCCAGGTCCCTCCCAGCGTCCCTCCCAGCGGCCCTCCAGCGGCCCTCCCAGCGGCCCTCCAGCGCCCTCCCAGCGTCTCCCTCCCAGTCACGGTCCCTCCCAGCCGTCCCTCCCAGCGCGCCCTCCCAAGCGCCCCCAGCGGCCCTCCCAGCGTCCCTCCCAGCGTCCCTCCCAGCCCCTCCCAGCGGCCCTCCCAGCGCAGCGCCCTCCCAGCGTCTCCTCCCAGCGTCCCTCCAGCGGCCCACCCAGCGTCCCTCCCAGCGGCCTCCTCCCAGCGTCCTCCCTGCCTCCCAGCGCGCCCCAGCCGTCCCTCCCAGAGCGTCGCCATCCCACGTCCCGCGCCCCTCCCCAGGCGTCCCTCCCAGCGGCTCCCCCGTCCCTCCCCAGCCTCCCAGCGGCCCCTCCCCCAGCGGCCCTCCCAGCGGCCCCTCCCGTTCCAGACGTCCCTCCCAGCACGTCCCCATCCCAGCGTCCCTCCCAGCGTCCCTCCAGGCGGCCCTCCCAGCGGCCCTCCCTCCCAGCGTCCCTCCCAGCCGTCCCTCCAGCCGTCCCTCCCAGCGTCCTGCGTCTCGTCCCTTCCCAGCGTCCCTCCAGCGGCCCTCCCAGCGGCCTCCCAGCTGGCGCTCCTCCCAGCGGCCCTCCCAGTCGTCCCTCCAGCTGCGTACCCTCCCAGCCGCCTCCAGCGGCCCTCCAGCGGCCCTCCCAGAACGTGCGTCCCTCCCACGGCCCTCCAGCATACGCATCCCCTCCGCAGCTGCGCCCTCCCAGCCCAATCGTCCTCAGAGTCCCTCCCAGCCGCCCTCCCAGTCGTCCTCCCAGCGCCCTCCAGCGCGCCCTCCCAGCGATCCCTCCCAGCGCGCCCTTCCCACGGCGTCCCTCCAGCGTCCCCTCCAGCGTCCCTCCCCAGTCGGGTCCCTCCCAGCGTCTCCTCCAGCCGGCCTCCTACCAGTCGACCCTGTGACCAAGCCGCTCCTGCCCAGCACACTTGCCCACCAATATATACGTCTCCCTTCCACAGTAAGCAGGATAGATACGCTATACTCCTCCCAGCGGCCATATACCCAGAGTCGTTCTACCTACCAGTGATAAATAATCAACACAACAAAAAAAAATACATATACCGTCCCTCCCAGCGGCCCTCCCAGACCGGCTACCTTACCCAGTGTCCCTCCCCCAAAGACGATATACTTGACTACACACACACACACACACACACACACACCACACGTCCCTTCCAGCGGCTCCTAACACACACCCCACACGCGACACCCCTATTCCCCACACAGCGCACCGCGCGCACACACCACCTACCAAGCACACACCAACCGCGTCCCTCCCAGCGTCCCTCCAGCGGCCCTTCCCCAAAAGCCGGGCCCTCCAGCGCGCACCTCCCACCAGACCATCCCACATCACACCCACAGCGAGCATAGTACATATATACGTCATGTGCGCATAATATACTATACTAACGTCCCTTCCCTATATAAAGGTATACATATATGTACGTCCCTTCAGCGGCCCTCTAGACTACGTCCCTCCATAACTAATACTAATTAATAGCGTATCCCTCCCAAGCGGCTCACCCTCCCAGGTTACTGACTCGTCCGTCCTCCCAGAGCGGTCCCACTCCCAGTGCGTACTCACTTACCCAGCAGGCCTCCCATGCTGCCCCTCCATCCTGGCACGTATGCCTACCAGTCATTACGTCTCCGTTCCCAGACTGGCCTTCTTCCAGAGCTGAGCCTCATCCCTCCAGACATTTTCGTCCCTCCCTCAGTGGTCACTCTCACTAGACGTCTGTCTGAATATACTACTACTTAACTATATCACGTCCTCTACCACAATGTACTACTCGTCCTCCCAAGCCGGCCCCTCCAGCGCGCTTCCTCCCAGTATCGCAATCACGTACACCACACACACTCACCAATGCGCGCCCATCACCAACCAGTCCCCTCCCAGCCGGCCACTCCCAGCGTCCTCCCAGCGCCACACCACCGCACGCACCGCGTCCGCCCCAGCACGCCTCCCGCAGCGCCCACCACCACGGCCCCCTCAAGCGGCCGCCTATCCGCCACCAGCCGGTAAACGCACGCACGCACCCAGACGCACACACGCACACACGTCACACACACGTCCGCATCCGAGCGCGAGACACACAACACACACTAACACACACACTCACCACACCTCACACACTCACACACTCACACACACACACTCTCTCCCGTCTCCCCACGCCGCCCCACTACCCTCCCTCACGTCTCTCTCTCTCCGCCTCCCTCTGCGCCCTGCCCCCTCCATGCCGGTCCCTCCCAGTCTCTCTCCTCTCCCGTCCCTCCCTCAGCGGCCCCTTCAGTCGTCTCTCTCCTACTCCCATGCGTCCTCATCCGTCTCCTCTCTCCACCTAGCTCTCTCTCTCTCCCTCTCTCTCCCTCTCTCTCTCTCCCGCTCTCCTCTCTCTCTACCTGTCTCCTCTCTTCTGCTCTCCCGTTCCTCCTTCTCCCTCAGCTCTCTCTCGTCCCCTCCGCCCAGCGTTCCCTTCCACGTCCTCCTCCATACCCTCCTCATAGCGGCACGTAAGACGTCACCTTACGAGGCTTTCCACCTCCCCACAGCCTTACTTCTGCGTCCCTCCCAGGAGCGTCCCTCCCAGCGCGCCCTCCCTCAGGCGTCCCTGATATACCCAGACGTCCCTCCCGACGTCGCTCCCAGGACGTCCCTCCAGCGCGCTCCCAGCGGCTCCTCCATGATTATGCGTCCCTCCCACGCGGCCCTCCAGCGGCCGCTCCACTCCAGCGTCCCTCCATGCCGAGCTCTCATCCCTGCGAGCCCTCCGACGCGCGCCTTACCAGCGCCCTCCCAGCAGCCCTCCCATGAGGCACCTCCAGACGTTCCCTTTCCCAAGTACGTCCCTATCCCAGATACTATACAGTCTCCTCCAGCAATGGCCTCTATTTACCCAGTATACGCTCCCTCCATAAGACGGCTCCCATCCAATGAGCTCTCACTCCCATGTAATATATCGTTCCCTCCGCCCAAGTACTAATCGTTTATGGTCGTGTTGTAGTTTGTCTGCGACAATAAATTCACTTTTATTTAAATCCTCCCTCCTCCAGCTGCGAATCGCAGCAGCTTCTGATCCGCTTCCGCAGCCCAATTTGCACATCGTCCCTCCCTAGACGCGCCCTCCTTGTGTCGTCCCTTTCCCACAGCTTTCATGTCGTCCCTCTCAGGATAGCGCAGAGCGGCGTCCCTCCAGCCCGGCCTCCAAGCCCGCTCCTCCCAGCGTCCCTCCAGCGGCCCTCCAGAAACGTCCCTCCCAAGCGGCGGTCCGAGGCAAGTTGCCGATCAGCTCCCGAGGTTCCGTCAACCTCCCCTCAGGGCCGACGTCCCCTCCAGTCGTCCCTCCCAGCCGACCCGCGTCTCAGCTGACGGCACTCATGAAGAGTCCGGATCAGTCTCCGTGGTTGTCTATGAGTGAAGTGCGCGGCTCATATATCGATGATAATGCGGTGTACTTGTATATGACCCCTCCTGAATCTCCTCTTAATAAGAGGAGACCTTTGGTTCTCTCACGTCACGCGTGTTGCACAGTCGGCTAATCAAACAGACCAACTTTGATCGCAAATCTCAGTTAGGCTAATTCGCCCTCTAGGTTCCTCCGGATCACCAGCATGGCAGGCATGCCATGATGCGTCTGAGTGTCGTATAAATCCGAATTGGAGAGATGTCATATTTCGGCGTCCCATGGCTGTTCGCTTACGACAAGCGCAGCATGAGATAACAATTCGGCTTTGTTCCTAGTTCGAATACTGACGTGTAGCTATGCTCCACTGAGGTGAATTATATGAAATATTGAACAAAATACATTTATTATCTTGTGAGCTGGGATATAAAAAAAAATAAAAACAAAAAAATAAACGGACGTGAGCGACAACAGCAATGATAACACATATACTAGTCTCCTGGCAATTTCCACTGTTCACCGAAAAATATGTATCTCACACGCTGCTCTTTATTGACACCTGAAAAAAATGATTGTATTTATGCTGTTCCTATAACAAATTATCCTCTTGTGGCGAGAAGGTAGCTGTTTCTCGAATTAGCGTTTGTATACTTGCGTTTACAGTTCTTTGTCCAATTTGTGTAGTTTATCTATCATTCCACAAAGCCAAAAATTTTGTATAAAATGTGGTTTCAAGAGCAAAAGGAACTTCCTCAGGAAATATTTGTACTTATCCTGAGTACTTTTCTGCTTCCTTTCTTTCTTTACTTGCCTGAATGGTTACATGAGATATTCATCACTACAGATGCTATTTAGAGACACTAAATATTAGACATAAATCACTTAAAAGCCTCCACAGCATCTGGCGTCTACACCGATGACACGAGCAACACTAGGCACACACCACACGCACACACTACACACACACAACACACCACACACACACCCACACACACAACACACACACACCAAACACCACACGATAACACCCACACATACACACACACACACACATATAATGTGTGTGGTGTGTGTCTGTGTGTATAATATATACTATATATATAATATATAACGTATTAATTGAGTAGATTTAATATATATATGTGGCTATGACTTATAATATATATATATATTATAGATTTGTAACTTTATATATATACCATTACATCCTATCTACTACTACCTTATATATATTATATTATTATTTATATATAATACTAATATATAATATCTCATATATATATATACATGTTACTATATTCCTATATGTTGTGTGTGTGTGTCGTGTGTGTGTGTGTGTGTGTTGTGTGTGTGTGTGTATGTGTATTGTGTGTGTTGCGTTATACTATTATATTAATATTATTACCTCCTCCTTACCTATTATATATCTTACTACTATCCTTACTATACTCTATATACTTAATATACCTTATATATATAATATATATATATATATCATATATCCTGTGTGCCCCCTCCTTCGTGTATGCGCTAATCATATGTACTCCCCGTATACATATACTTATATGTATGGTACTACACTCCCTATCACATACAATATATATTAGATATTAGATAGATACATACTATGTGCTGTGCTGACTTATTTACGTAGCAATCTCTACTATTAGCACATTCCAAACCTCCTTCTTCCAAACGCTGGAACTATACCTCCCTACTCTTATTTAATTACGCATGCGCACTTGTGTAATAGTATATCCCTTCTCCATTCTTTATCTTACCACCATTTTGCTTGTTGTTATTTCTATTTATCTGTTTGCTCTGTCGTTTCTTCCCCTTGTCTCTATCTCTCTATCATGACGCTGCAAGCAAATACTATACGAGTGACAAAGGGAAAAGAGAGAGAAATACTGGGCGATGAAGAGGAGAAAACAGAATTAGCGAGAACGAGAAACACGCAGAAAGAGAAAGTAGAAAGGAAAAGAAAGACCATTCACGCAATAAAAAGACGCAGAAGTAAAAAGAAAAAAAAATCGTGCGAAAGGAGAAAGGACGGGAAAGGAAAAGGAAGACATTCCCCAATAAAACAGAGACGCAAAAGTCCAAAACACAGAAAGATAAGAGACGGAGCTCCGAACAGCAGTGAAACACGCACCCGTAAGCTGGCCAACCACGCGCTGCTCGACAAACGGCTCTGCGCTGTTCTGCGTGTGAAAATTGAGCATGTTAATCATACAAAGTCAAGTTCTTTAACTTTCTATCCGCTTTACACACTTTTCGCGGGATAAGCGCTGCAAATACACTTTCATTCCATTTCTTTACCTCCCTTCTATTTCATCTCTTAGTTTTTTTTGCTTTCCTTCCCTTAAAACAAACATAAAACAAAAACAAAATAAACAAAAAACATAACCGTTCTTTCTCTCCCCTCTCACCCACTCCTCTCCCTGTTTTTTCCCCTCACACCTCCTCCTTTTATCACACACACCCTCACTCTCCCTCCTTCTCCCCTCAGACCTCTCTCCTTCCTCTTGCACCACCTTCGCTCCTTTCCCCATGCACCCTTCTTTTCCCTTACCCTGGTCCCTCCCTCACACCCCTGTTTCCCTTCCACGCTCCCTTCTTCCCCAACAATCTTCTGCCTCTCCCTCCCCCTCCCTCCTCCTCCTCCTTCCTATCTCCAGGATGAATATCATGCACCAACTCATATCATATTTGTTAAAGCTGAGCTGATGACTATAAGCCCTGCACCCCCTCCCTATTCGCTGTCCGTCCATTATCTACATTTACTGCTTAAGTTTTTTCCTTTATCTTTTTTCTCGTCTTCTTTTTATGGAAGTTTATGTTTAGGAGTACAAATCTATTTTTCTTTTTATCTAATTAATTTCTTCCCCTTTCTTATCATTATTAAAGTTACATGTAATACACTTCTTTTCTCATATAATCTTTTCATGAAATTTCTTTAATCTTTTTCTTCTTTCCTTTTCCTTTTTCTTATCTTTATTTTTCGTCGTCGCCTACTTTTAAATCATCGCACGCCATAATCTCGCTCCACATTCCTATCCATTTTCATCGATTAGTAATATTATCTGCGTTATTCGTTTCTTGCCATTCGTTATTACTTCTCCTTTCCAATTTTCATTCTTACTGTCATCTCCTTTTCCTCTATTTCCATTTACTCTCTTCCTCTCTCTCATTTTACTTCGAAAAATTTCTCAGATAGTTCCATCAAGCATCATCCCAAAAAAAGAAATGTATGAGTGTGTGTGTGTGTGGTGTATGTGTCCGAATGGTATGTGTGTTGCATTTATATATATAGTATTATATATATATATAACTATATATATATATATATATATATATATATCATACTTATTTATACAATATATAATATATAATCATAAACTATACACTATTTAACTATATACTTACCTTATACCTCATACCTCCATCCTTATACTTATATATATTATTTAATATATACATATATATATATATATATACCTGCCCACTTATAACCTTCTCAATTATATATATATCCCTCTATACCCTCTATCCCTCCCTCTACATACTGCCTATTATACTATATACCTGCATTCACTATACCACACACACTATTATATATACCCTTATCCTATACTAACGATTCCTTCCTACCTATTACCTCCTCCTTACCTTCACCTACCTACGCTTTATTACCCTCCCCTTACCTCTTAATCTCGCCCTCAACCTCCTATCTATATATATGCTCCATCTCATTATCTCGCTACCCTCCTTCCTTACCACTCCCTTACTATCTCCCTACTCACTCTACCTTCCTTCCTTCCTATTCACTCTCCATCCTCCTCTCTTCCTTCCATCTACTTCATCCCTTACCTTTATATCACCTCCTCCTCCCTCCTTCTTCCCTTACACTTTTACTTCCCCTATATCCATCCACCCGTTAC